TGGGTGGGTTGCTGCTGGGCGGGTGCGTGGCCTTCCAGTAGGCTTCCAGGTACTCCGCCAGGTGCTCGCAGGCGTCCTCCAACTGGTTCTCGTCCAGGATGATGTCAAACATCTCCTGCAAGGCAAGGCATGGTGGGCGGGGCCTCCGGCAAGGAAGGGATGGTGGGTGGAGCTTACAGGCCCAGGGCGGAGCCTCTTCTCCAAAAGGGGCGGGGCTTATGGCCAGGAGGGGGTGGTGAGTGGAGCATCTGGACCAAAGGCGGAGCCTCTGGTCAGGCTCCACTGGAGGAGCAGCGTCAGGCTCCAAGGGAGGAGCAGCGGGCCGGCTGGGGCAGAGTCTCTGGACTACAGGGGTGGAGCCTCTGATCCCAATAAGGTTGTGGGTGGAGTCTATGGCCCCTGAGGGGTGGAGCATCTGGCTAAAATAAGGTGGTAGGTGGAGCCTATGGAGCCAGGGTGGAGCCTCTGACGCCCAACGGTTGAGGCTTTGGCCAGGATGAGGTGGTGGGAGAAGCTTCTGGCCTGCAGGGGAGGAGCCTCTGGCTCCAGTGTGGTGGTAGGTGGAGCCTCCAGCCCCAAGCAGCACCAGTGGGCAGAGCCAGGGCCAGGCCGGGGAGCCCAACTCACCGGTGGGCACTGCGCGAGCTTGTCCGAGGCCACCATCTGCACATTGAGGTGCTTCGCCTGGGACTTGCCCCGGGATTTCACGAGCCGCTGGAGCACCTAGGGTGGGAGAGGGTGACACTAGGGCAGCCGGGGGGGGCCACAGGGACCTCGGCCCTGCACAACAGCCCTGCTTCCACCCGTCCTTCCCCTGCCCAGCCAGCACCAGCTCCAGCCCTGGGGCAGCCCCATCTCCCAGGATGGCCAGAGCAGGGGCTGTCCTGTGACCACCCACCCTTGCGGCGCCCCATGCCCACCTTGGGGGATGTGATTTTGATGTAGACGATGATGGGGGCCAGGGAAGTCTTGGCCAACTGGGCCGGGTGGTTGATGGTGTCAGCGTCCAAGGCCACCAACTGCAGCGTCCGGGCCAGCTCAAAGATGCGCTCGGTTTCACTCTGGACCTCGGCTGCCAGAGCAGGGAGACAGCGAGGGTCAGGGCAAGACAATGTGGGGGGATGAGAGAGCATGTGGGGCAGAAAGCAACAGGGAGAAGTACTGGGACATGTGGTGAGGGGAAGGGGACAGATGACAGGACCACAAAGGGTCTTGTACTGGGCCTTGGCCATCATCAAGCTCACCCCAGCCCCAGGGACACAGGGGGCTCGCTACAAGTCCTGGAGGGAGGTTGCTCTAGGCGCCCAGCGCTGGCCTATGTAGACCATGGGGTGACTGGCTTACGGAGGGCTAAGCAACCCCCGGCCACATGAGTCTGGGGTGGGAGGTGAGATAAGGCTGTGTGGCCGGGGTCTTCCTAACTCCCAGGCTGTGGGGTGGCTGGACCCTGTCGTGCTCCAACAGGAGTGTCCCCAAGGCTGGTCATGGCCAGACAGGGAGGACAGGGCACCCAAGGGGCTGTGTCCCCACTTCCTCCAGCCGGGCGGGGGCTGGCAGGGGGCAGAGGTCCCGACAGGTCCAAGCTACATACCCAAGACATCTGTATCAGGAGCAGGGGAGGAAGGAAGCAGCGCGGAGGGGAGGAAACCCAAAGGAAAGGAGAAGAAGAAACGGAAAGAAAAACACAACAAAGAGAAGATAAAGGGGGAGGAGGGGGAGAGAGACCGAGTCAAACGGGCCAGAGGGAGCAAAAGGCTCTGGCTCCCCTTCCCCCCTGCCTGTGCTCCGCGTGTTAGCCCCCCCTCGGCAGCCGAGATGCAGGCTGTGCCTCAGCATCTCGTCCCCCAGCGTGCTGGGGAGGGACAAGCCATGCCTCAGAGCAGGTGGGACGAGCACCCCGGGACGAGACGGGATGGGGAACACCAGGCTGCCAGGGTCCCCAGCTGATACAGATCTGCGCTTGGGAGTCACGCCTGCTCAGCCAGGCGGGAGGGTTAGCACGACGTGGGCTGCCCAACGCGACTGAGCCATGTACGGAGCTGCAACGCCTCCTTACCCAGGCTGGAGCGCGTGCTGGAGCGCTCGATGATGGTGTGTTTGCTGGGGTTGTTCAGGACGGAGCGTTTGGCCAGGGAGATGTCGGCTGTCACCCGTGTGATGGAGATCCTGAGGGATGGAGAGGGCAGGAGTGAGAGAGGGAGGTAGAGCAAGAGAAGCTACAAAAATCCCCCCCATCAAACTAATCCTTGGGGTGCAGGACAGGACCTTGGTTCCATCCCCTTTCTCCCACCCCATGTCCAGAGCCTGCAGGGCTCCTGGGTCCCTCGGGGGGGATATCTACCCCGGCACTGTGCCTCAGTTTCTCCACTGACAACAAGAACCACAGAGCTAGGTTGAGGAGGTAGAGCAAGAGAAGCTACAAAAATCCCCCCCATCAAACTAATCCTTGGGGTGCAGGACAGGACCTTGGTTCCATCCCCTTTCTCCCACCCCATGTCCAGAGCCTGCAGGGCTCCTGGGTCCCTCGGGGGGGATATCTACCCCGGCACTGTGCCTCAGTTTCTCCACTGACAACAAGAACCACAGAGCTAGGTTGAGGTACCTGCCTGTCTGATGGGCCCCCACCCACACAGGTGCCTGCCTCAAGGTGATGGGGGGCACACTGCACCCCTGCTACCCAGCCCCTGACATGGAAATGTCCCCTTAACACCCACCTGCCATCAAAGCGATGCTTCAGGAAGTCGAAGAGGGCTTTCTGCATCATGTCAGTGACCTAGGGAGGGAGGAGGAAGGGCCGGCGTGGGGCCGGCGGCACGGCCTCAGTAGGCGCAGCCTGCCCGCGCCCCTGGGGTGCCCCGTCCAGCCCGCTCCTCACCTCGTAGCCCTTCAGCGACGGCCCCACCAAGATGATGGGCCGCATGGATGGCACCACGTCTCACGGCGGGACAGGCA